TTTATTGTGTATTTCTATATTCATAAACATTGAGGATCCTTTTATTGTCTTATGTAACAAGAAGACAAGCAGCTCATGGATGGCGGCTCCCGTGTGCTTCTCCATGATCTCTCAGCTGCCTCTGCGTGGACGGCCACAGCATGGCTGCGTGCCTAAAGCATGCAGAGAGGGCAGCGTTCTTGTCTCGGGCTCCCCACCCACCATTTTTAAGCAGCTTTATTGCGGTATAATTGGCATACTAAGTTGCACATTGTCGTGTATGTTTTGCAAGTGTACATCTGTATACACCGCACGACCATCACCACACTATGATAATGAGCATGTTTATCACTCTCCAAAGTTTCCTGGTGCCCTTTGCCATTCCTTCTGCCCACCCTTCTCCTCCTTTTGTGAAAGCTTTGATGTTTTTAGGGGGGGGAAAAGTTACATTGTTGAGGATAAAATACTGGGTAGAAAGATACTTTATTTGTAGTTTTCGCTTTTTTTTTTTTTTTTTTTTTTTTTTTTTTGAGACAGGGTCTCACTCCTTTTGTGAAAGCTTTGATGTTTTTAGGGGGGGGAAAAGTTACATTGTTGAGGATAAAATACTGGGTAGAAAGATACTTTATTTGTAGTTTTCGCTTTTTTTTTTTTTTTTTTTCTTTTTGAGGAGTATGGTGGAAATAATGATTGTAGGTATAGGTTGCTGTATTATTTTTAGAAAGTTTTGAGAAACAGATTCTCCGAACAGACCATCTTGGAAGGGTTTGACAGGAAATATATTTTCAGGAAGGCTGGAATAGAGGTGGAGATGGTGCCTGCTGGCAGGAGAGGGAGAGAGGAAGGACAGCACCTGCCGGCCACTTGCGGGTGAGCCACAGACATGAAAACCAAAGGCTGCACTTTTCTTTGGTTTTTCAGTAGATGGCATTTTTATCATGCTAGAAAGGCTAACGTGAAATGGTAATAAAAATGTAATCCCCACTAACTGGGGTATACTTAGCTCTAGTGCATTTTTTTTTGTTGTTGAATGGCATGCTGGCGATTGATTGATTTATATTTATAGATTAAAAATAACAAGCTTTGCCCTATCATTGTAATCACCTTTTTGCTTTTTTTTTTTTTTTTCCTTCCCCCAGAGACAGAGTCTTGCAGTGTCACCCAGGCTGGAATGCTGTGGCACAATCTCAGTTTACTGCTGCCTCTACCTCCTGGGCTCGTGTTCCTTCCGCCTCAGCCTCCTAAGTAGCTGGGACTAGAGGCGTGCACCACCACACCCAGCTAATGTTGTTTATTTTTGTGGAGATGGGATCTCCCTATATTGCCCAGGCTGGTCTCGAACTTCTGGGCTCAAGTGATCCTCCTGCCTCTGCCTCCCAAAGTGGTGGGATTATAGGCGTGAGCCACAGAACTGTGCCTCGCCTGGGTAGTTCTTTTTAATTGTTGAATATACTTGCTGAGGTTAGTTTCTGCTGCAGAAAGCGTTATATAATGTTAACAGGTATTTTGTAAAGAGCTAGTAGAATGTATAAGGTTTACCTGGGAGGTGGAGGCTGCAGTGAGCCAAGATCCTGCTACTGCACTCTAGCCTGGGTGACAGAGCGAGAGTCTTTTTTTTTTTTTTTTTTTTTTTAAATATAGACTATAGGGTTTTTATTTTAATGGATTTCTTCAGCTGTCTCCTTCTAGCTTCTATGACTCTGCATTTTCTTGGCTCTTTATTTTTTATTTCTTTACAGTTCTTCCATGTATTTTGTTTTGAAAGTAATATGCCTGCGGTGAAAATGACAGCATTTCTGTCATGATTTAACCTTATTAGAAATGACATTCCTTGCTGTGTGTCTGTTTAGTTGAGAAGTGAACCAGTTCCCTTTGCTTACGTACTACTCCTTGGTGCGGCGGGGTGGTGTGGGGAAGATTTTTAACATTGAATACAAATTGAGTTTGTTGGAAAAGGTATCCCTATAAAATGTTGTCCAGGTAGTTAGAGCTTAATATGGGTGATAATTTCCCTAGAAAAATATTCTTTTCTGTAACACTGATGACTTGATGGTCTTGTGAAAGTGAAACTTGGTGTATTTCTTCTTTCAGGCATATAACTCACAGATAGGGCAGTGTAGAGTAGTTTTCCAGTTTTAGATTAAGGATAGCTTGTATCCTATGCAAGGTTTTGGGGGTTGGTTAGGGTCTTTGAGTATTTCCTGTCTAATTCACTTACTAGTTACAAAGAGACAAGCTGTAATGTAGCAAGTCTTCCTTGAGGTAGACTAGCTTTCTGTACTCTTTGATGTAAAAATACCTGGTAGTTCTACCAGTTGGGGATTTGTTTGGGGTGAATGAAAACCCCTCAGGCTCAGTCTGTTCATGCACTGGTGTGTATTCATTCAGTCCATTCATAGTCATGAGCTGACTGTGCCTTATTGAAGAAAGGGAGGCTTCTGGAAGAGAGAGGAAGGTGGATAATCTGGGATCCTCAGGCACTGCTGCTGGCGCCTGGGAGTGGGGCAAGGAGACAGGAGTTTCCGAAGAGAGGACTTTGTATCCAAAGTTAAGACTTAGGCCAGCCCTTGATGGGGAGAGAAGCTACTCAGGCCCAATAACCTCAAAGAGTTCAGGTTAAATCGACAGTTGTCAAGTCTAATTCCTCTTTACAGCATTATTTCTGTGGGAAAATGTGTGTGGCTCATATCCTTGCCACAGCAAACAGACTGGACTCAGAATCAGCTCTTTGTTGTCATAATTTAAGTGGAATTAGTTACTCCCTAGGGTTGCATTGCCCCTTGGATGGCTTCTAGCCTTCTTTTTACTTATTAGCTTATACTCTAGGTTTCTTGACTGTGAGGGACATAGTAAACTCCTGGTAGCCTTTACCTCTCCCTCCCTAAATAGCAAACTCATGTAGAAAACATTAGTTAAAATCCTTTATAGATTTTTTGAAATCACCTAAGATGTTATCATTATTGGCACAATTTCATTTGGAGCCATTTTGTCAGAACCACTAAGTATTTAGGTGAGGCGATTGATTTCATTCCCACGTGGAAGTTTGGTTGGTTGTGACATTCAGGCACTCAGAGTGATTCCTGACTGCTTGGAGATGATATCATGTTCAGGTAGTCTGGTGTCTGGAACTTTTGGCAGAGATTAAGCTGTTAGAAGATTTGGGCTAACATTTTTTTGTGTGTGAGTTGGTGAATTTTGAAGATGATTTAGAAGACTTTAAAAAAGCATCTGTGTGTACTTCATCATCTTGATGTCAAGAAGAGATTTTTTTTTTTAATACATACATATTTTAGTAATGAAGGAGGTACATAGAGATAGTTGATTTGAATGGGTTTACTTTTTCTCATTTTTAGTACAAAATATTTTTGGGAAACAAAACTTGACTGGTGTTACACTACTGGCTTCTTGCTTTTTGTTACAAACATGCTGAAATGGTCTAAATAATGATGCTACTAAAACAACATATGCATTGTTTTGATGGGGTATTGATTCCTTCTATAGTGTTCAAAATTGCTTGCATGCCTCTGAGCAACAAACGCATATGTGACAGACTTTATGTGAGATGAGCATTCCAGGGAAATGAAATGCTAGTTTACTTTTCAGTAGCTGTGCAACTTAAAAAAAAAAAAAAAATTGTGTTTTTTGAAACATGGCCTTAGGGCACTAACACACTCGGACCCAGTGCATGAGCTCTGCAAGTTATTTTAACAAAACCTAATCACAGGAACAAACATCTGGCATTTATAGAGTTTGTTTATTTATTGATTGCCATAAGCCTCTAGAAAGAATATCCTGTTTCTTTTAATAAAATCCTTTTGGAAGTTGTCTATATTTTAATATCTAAGTGTTTTTGGAATTTAATTTTAACAAGGTAAACTCAAATGTTAAATATTGTGGGCTACAACTGAAATAGCAGAATGGAAGAAGAAATGGCAAGTGGGGACTCTTGTAAAAAGAATGGTAACTAAGTTATTTTTCCTGGTTATGCTCCTCCCGTTTACTCTCCTGTATGGCAGGCCATTATTTACACTGCTTTGTAGAATCTGCTGTCTGGCAAGCACTAAGGAATTCGGATCCCTAAACCAGGGAGCATATAGCCTGCTAAAGTTTAATTTTCAGAGAGGAGACACTAAAGATGATTGTGTTATGATACTGTTCATTTTATGTACTAGTGAAATGAATACTGAAATTATTTAGTATAACCATTAATTATAGTGCTTACCATTACTGCAAAGCTTGTCATGATTTGGGGGGTAGCTTCATGTTTCAAAACAAAACCATAGGTCTATCCTTTTAAAAAACATGAACTACTTTAGTTTGTTAATGGGGAAAGTGAGTAAATAATAATATTTTTTGAAAAAATGAAGCCTGTCAGATACAGGAGGGGAAAAAAAACCCTTGTAAATATTCCTCATGTCAAGCCCCTATTAATTCTGTGTAATTTCAGTAGAACTAGCAAGTTATTTTACTTAAAATGTCTTTTTTTCCCCTGTGCAGTGAAAGTTGAATGTGAGAACAGATCTTAATAGATATAGTTACACAGTTTATTTTATCATGTATCACTTTATTGCTGTCTTCTAGAACATTGTTATACTAAATGTTCCAATAATGGAAATTTTATGCAGCTACTTCAAATGAAACAAATTTGCAAAAACTCAATTTTGGAACTCATTCCTTGAGGAGAGGAAAAAACTCACCGTGCTGTGACCACATCAGATTTCTGATATGTTAGCAACTTATCAAACACTGTCATTTCCAGAAAACAGGTTGTGGGGTCAAATTGAAATATCTACACTTTTGGTCACTTTCTGTTGAAGATATTTTAGGTTTTAATGATTGAATAGTGAAATTAAAAAAAATTGTTGGTAACAGGTAATGAAAGTGTGGTTTTGTATGTAAATAAAAATGGCTCTACACAGCATCAGGAATGATGGGGTTCAGTTACAGTGGAATCTTTTCAAGAGCTTGATTTTAAATTCTCAGAGATATTAGTTTTACTTACTGGAGCTCCTTTGTTTTGCAGAGATCATGATGCAGCCGTCCTTTTGGATTTCTTTTTAATAATGTGTGACCCTTCACCTTTGATCCCCTGACCTGCATTACCTTGGTAACCATTTCATTTTTTAATTTAATTTCATTTTTTAATTTTGGTGTACAAGCTGTAACATTTCATCTTTCAAAGTGTAACACGCTGATTTCCTCAAATAGAGATACCCCTTTGAGCGATAAATTTGCAAAATGCTGTCTTCATTTTCCGTATTAAAATTCATTTCAGCTTTAAAATAAAGTGTAATCTGTGTTTTCATCCTTTTAAAATTTAAGTTTAATGAGTGCATTTCCCCATACAGTATATTTCCTTTTTTATTCATGTTTTGCAGAAGCTGAATTAACTTGATATTTACATATAACTTACACATGCCCAGGACACCCATACCTCTTCTCTACTCCCAAACCACCCAAACCATTGCCCCTCACCTTCTCAATACATACACCTTCACCATCACCATCACCACATACCCCTTCCTCTGCAGAGTAACTTATCTTTCTTTCAGAAATAGTAGCAACTTGAATTTATTAGTCTTAGCTGCCACATTATACATCCTCAGATTATATTTTGTATTCTGAAGTATTTTGGGGAGAAAAAGCTTAGACTTTTAATTTTAATTTCATTTAAGGACTAGAAAAATACAAAGTTGTCTCATTACCCAAGTTCAACCTTTCCCCACTCTTTTAATATTTTATTTTTTTAATTTGAGACATAAGAACAAGCAGCAATTTTAACATGACCAAAAAATGTACTTTTGTCTCTGCCAAAACCTGGTCAGCCAACCCTGGTGGTCTCAATACCAGATTGATTTCTGCCATATGCAGTTTCATGACTGTTTTTCAAATGATGCATTTTTATTGTATTCCTCTTTTCAGAAAATTCTTAACCTAAAGCAAAACAAAACAAAATCAAAAGAAACCAAACTTGAGTCAGTTCTTTGAACTGGCAAGATACTCCTAAGAAATCATGTCCTTAAAAAAAAATCACGTGAATTCTCTCAGCATGGCCCACTGAAGCACAGATTACTTTTTAAGTGTCTCATTATTTTATTCTCTAACATTTAATGCTGATGTTTTAATTGCACACAGCTGAAGCTGCTAAATGAGCACTGAAATGGATTTAAGTCCTCTCTGAGCTTTGTTGATACCTATAAAAGTTTATATCATTCATTAGAACCACAAATTAAAATTAGTCGTGGTTAGCTGTTCACTGCCGATTGGAACTCGCGCGAACACTTTTGTTCAGGCTCACGAGCTTGTTCTTGCCTGGTGTACTTGGATACTTGAAAAGCTGCCTTTGGCCTGTTGGGTATTTTTTCTTTTCACAGATTTGCAAAATATCAGAGCTGAGAAATACAAGTAGGTAAACCATCCTATGATTATAAAGCTCCTGTGATTTATAATGTCCCAGTAGTCAGGAGCAAGTTTTTTGCTAAACCTTGAATTTTAAGGTGATTTTTTTTTTTTTTTTTTAAATAATGCTTTTCACAGTTGTGCTGGCATGTTTTCCAGATCCCCAAAGACCTTTTTGCCTTAGGTATGTCCTTTATTTGTTCTTTGATGCCATGTCCTTCTAGCACTAAAGGAATGGCGTCTGTCTTAGTGGATGGTACATGGAAGCCCAGGGCTGCGGGAGGCCGTGACTGCTTGTTGCCTCCAGTCCTCTTGCTCAAGCAGCCCCAAACCGGCTGACCCCTGAGGAATGAGCTCCCCTGGGCTCCCCTGGGGCTCCCATCTGCCTTTGAGGCAGACAATACTGTATTTGTAAGTCCACTAGGAGCTGAAGAGACATTAACAGGTGAAGATGAGAAAAGTTTTTATTCTCTTATTTTATTTTACGATTAGATCATTTAGATTTTCTTTAAAGTTTTCTGCGTAGTACATTTTAAGATAACCTCATTTTTCTGAGAGCGCTAATACATGGACACATTTATGGCTTATTTCCAATGAGCATTGTGTATTTGGTTATATTTAGGACATTTAGTAGACTGTAAGCCAATGGATGTTTTTGTAAATGTGATTCATTGAGAAAAACCATCTGAGAGTGAGATAACCTGCTTTGGACTAGCAAAGTCTCTGGATATGTTATTGGTATCTGTTGAGATAGTCACACAAAACTGAAATACTCCAACAGAAAGACTTCAGAAGACTTTCGTTTTGGTGTAAAAACAGTGAAATTAGCTGTTTGACTTAAAATATAGGAGTTGTAAGACATTTCATTGATGCCACTTCTGTTTTATCCTCTGTGAAATGTAGATACTGTGTGTCTCCCACTTGCTTTTTAGGGTTGTTGGGAGGATAAATGAAACTGTATGACAGACACACTGGGAACTCAGAAGAAAGGTGCTTTTGAAACTGAACCTCATCCTGTGGCTGTGCTGTTGGCAGGCATAACCAGCGTGTTGAGAGGCAGTGGTAGTGAACCCCATGGTGAAAGGCCAGGACTATGGGCTCTGGAGCCAGGCTGCCTTGGTTCGAATCCCATCTCGACCTCTTGCAAGTGGTCTGACCACAGCAAATCACCCAACCTCTCTGTGCCTGAGTTTCTCCCTCCTTAAATTGGGGATAATAATAATAGTACCCACTAAAGGATCCTGGTGAGTTTTAGCTGAGCACGTGTCCACAAACTGCTTAGAGCAGTGCCTGGTGTGTAGTGTGGCTGATCCTCACAACCAGAAAACCCCAGCAGGGGGACTCACACCTTACAGAAAATCAGACTCAAAACAATTCCCCAGTAGTCTTCTAACATTGACTTAGAGACCCTTATATGTTTAGAGAGAGGAACTGAATAGTTTATGGTAATAAGACACCTCTGAAACAGATGCAGGTTCAGGTGCATAAAGTTAAATCTGGGTTTTTAATCTCTTAGGAAGAAAAGTTTAGATCACAGAGAGCTCCATAACCTTTTGTTGATAGATTCTTTTAACTGTTTTTGGCTATGGAGGGACTAGGAAGGAAACCTGAGGGACAGACCCACCTTTTACCTAGTCAGCCTTTCTCTTTCCCTTTTATGCTCGGTAAGGTGTCTAGGTAACTTTGAAGGGGTCAGAGGGTTGAACTGTTTCAAGGTTTTTACCCGGCTGCGTGAGGCTTCGGTGTCCTCTTGAGTGAGATGGAAGGGACATCCCTGCTTTTCCCGAGAATGCCTGTTACATATTCATCCCAGGGCTTTCCATACATTTTAATCATCCACATTTATCTACAAGGTGGGTGGTATGTTCACCCCATTTTGCATGTGAGAATGCTGATGCCCAGGTAGGTTAAATAAGTTCACCCAGGCTCACACCCTCAGTAAATTGCCAGACAGGCACTTAAATGCAAGTGCCACTCATATCACGGCACTACTGCCTTGCATTAAGCTGCAAACCTGGCTGAGCCACTCCCAAGAAATGGTTTTGCCCTTTTGGTTGTAGGGACCTCAGCTGTATGCAGTATCATCCTTCAGCCATCAGACCTTTTTTTTTTTTTTTTTTGGAGATGGAGTCTCGTATTGTCACCCTGGCTGGAGTGCAGTGGTGCGATCTTGGCTCACTGCAACCTTTGCCTCCTGGGTTCAAGTGATTCTCCTGCCTCAGCCTCCTGAGTAGCTGGGATGACAGGCGCCCACCACCACGCCCAGCTAATTTTTTGTATTTTTAGTAGAAATGGTGTTTCACCATGTTGGCCAGCTGGTCTCGAACTTTCCTGACCTTGTGATTTGTCCTCGTTGGCCTCAGAATGTGCTGGGATTATAGACATGAGCCACTGTGCCTGGCCCAGACCTTTTAACGTAACAGCACCCCTAACTTCTGAAGGCCCCTAGCTGGCTTCAACAACCGCCCCTCTCCCTGCCCCCCATGGAGGGCTCTGTCATATATATGTTACTTTTAGGGACTCTTACTACCAGTGGCTTCCTCAATCCTGGCTGCACATTCAGAATCCTGTGTACAGCTTTTAAAATAATTCACTTTTTAAGAAACGCTTGCCCTATCCCAAGACTCTTGTTCTAGAGAGATCAGTAGGTTCAGAAATATAGGAAGTTTATTTTGTAAACAAGAAAACAGGTCCTTAAATTGTGCACATATGGATCTGTGCTTCTGGAGTGTGGGCCAGTGCTATTAATTGTGTAGTTGACTCCATTGTAAGGTAAAATGAGTTTTATGGGCCAGTTTAGTTGTTCAGCCAACAATTGTTAGTACTGTGTCTGTAGGAAAAGCTCCTGGCATCCACCCTGTAGAATGCCGTCTTCCGTGAGTGACCACTTGATCACCACAGAAGCCAGATTTGAATTTAGTTAGAGTGAAATGAAGTAGAGGGCCCTGCTTGCTTTCTTGTTCTTTCAATTTTCTTTTTTTCTTCTCCTCTCTTTTACGGGTTTATTGTTCCCTTATTTTTTTCTCCTCCATACTTCCATCTTCCCTTGTTTTATCTTTCTTCCACCATCTGGTGTATGTTTACAGTGTATCTGTCATCAGACTGTGAGGTCCGTGAAATCCTTCAGGTGTCTATCACAGAGATGACGTACAAATGAATGTTTATTTTTTATTTTATTTTATTTTTTTTTGAGACAGAGTTTAGCTCTTTGTTGCCCAGGCTGGAGTGCAATGGTGCGATCTTAGCGCACTGCAAACCTCCACCTTCTGGGTTCTAACGATTCTCCTGCCTCAGCCTCCGAAGTAGCTGGGATTACAGGCGTGTGCCACCATGCCCAACTAATTTTTGTATTTTTAGTAGAGACAGGATTTCACTATGTTGGCTAGTCTGGTCTCAAACGCCTGACATCAGGTGATCCACCTGCCTTGGCCTCCCAGAGTGCTGGGATTACAGTGGTGAGCCGCTGCGCCTGGCTAAATGAACATTTCTTAATTTATGTTAGTATCTGTCTTTCAAAGAACTAGGCACTGCCCATCATTAGCTTGAAAATTGTCAGATTTTGTTTGTGATTGTCTATCCTAACTTAGGTGGTTTATCTTGAAGAGCTTAGGTAATTTAGCCTCATAGATTTAGATAGGTCGAGAAATGGCAGGCTTCAGTCACTGAATAGTACAGAATGTTGGGCAATAAGATGGATTTGGACCATTC